TGTTTTTTCGAATAGATAGTGGTAAGATGTCATTAGGTAGGGTAAAAAGAGTCATTGTAGCACCCTTAGTATCCTTGGCTTAAAGAGCTGAGTATACCTCATTGGCCGTGGCAGAGACGAAGTCGCAAGCATAGTCGTATACTTTACTAAAACAACAACGCACTTGTAGAGCACGTTACACATCTATGCATATATATGCGCCGTCGCCTAGGGTCTATAGCGCAGGGTATGGTTTGCAGATCAAACCTCATCTAAATGGATGTTCATAAGCTTGACGGCAAAGAAGGTAACGACGAGTATAACAGCCTTTTAAACCATTATGAAGAGTCTCCCTCAAGCTTCACTTCAGGATTTGCCATTTCCTGATCTGACAGGATATCTCTGCTTAAGGAGTTATTTAGTATTTGTATGCGCATTGTGGAAAGGACTACAGCCTGATATGGAAGGGTCAGAATTGTACACCATCAAGCTATCGACTCCCTTACTGCATTTTTTCGGAGTCGCATCAATAATGGTAACTCTAAGTAAATGTTGAAGCAAGTTGCTTTTTGATCAACTAAGACTATAAATTTTTGCAGAAAAAGCTATGCTCAATGATTGTTGCCGCCTTTGGATCGATAAGCCTGACAAGGCACGCTACACAAGCTTATGCCTTCTTTAGTATGCAAAAAAAACGTCTTAAAATAGGGTATCGACAGTACACGAAGGTGTGTATTTTACGTACACACCTGCCACACCAATGTGGTGCGGCTGTACCTTGGGTACAAAGTAGGTGATGTGATGAAGTACGAAGGGTCACATCGTGGCAAAGAGCCACGTGGTCACTATACTTATTCAAGTATAGTGACTATGCATGTTTGCATACTAATAACAGGCTATAGAGCCAGTAAATAGTGACTAGCAATAGGTGTTTCCATTATTAGTGTTAGAAGATAAACATAAATATGAAACAATTTCAAACCTGCTCTGTATAGTGCTAGTTGCTAGAGCGTTCTATTCCGTATAGGAATTGTATCTTTGATACTAGTCTCTCTGAGACTCGGTTATTAATACCGATAGGCACAAGCTAATGAGCTAGCCTAGGAGGGTTAAGCACCCTAAGACGTAGAAGCTCTCTGAGCTTGTCTTCCTCTGCACATAGTGCATAAGTAGTTTTGCTACAGTAGTCTGGCTACTTCTTCTGCACATAGTGCATCAGCACATAGTGCATCTGCATATAGTGCATAAGTAGCGTAGCTACAGTAGCTCGGCTACAAGAACAAATAGCGTTGGGGTGAATGTATCTAGAATCCGATCTGGTCCGAAGAGAAACATCAACACTGTAGAAGTGATATAAGTTCGATATTCGGACGGACAACATTCGCCTGCCATGATTCTGCAATTCGGAAAGGTATTACAACTGAATGCCTTGTGACATTGAATATGTTTGAAGTAGCCAGCGCAGTTTGAATGGCTTATAGTGATAGCGATTCAAAGATTGAGTCCTGCCCTCTACATGGTTGCTGCCTGTCGTCACGTTCATTTGATACAGCCAGTAGTCATACCAACGGCCACTATAAAAAGCCGGCGCGTTCTTGAAGTGCAACAACTACTTCTTCATTCATTCGGTACGCAATTAAGCCTAGAATTTTTCGTTATCATACAATATCAGCCTTCCAATGCTTGTTACTCACACCCAGAACAAACAAGGCATGGAGTCAATGTTGCTGTTCGCTCAACATGTGGTTTCTGCTTCTTTTTCTAAATTATTTCGTGCTTGATATTCCCTGCAACTACACAAACTTGCAAATGTCACTGCTGTACTTACAAACACGATCTACACGGCGCACTCATGACTTCATTTTCCTTCTTTTCTAGCTAGTAGACCGATCGCCTCCCGACTAAATTCTAGCACACCAATGAACTCGTAGCCCGTATCCAAGCAGCACTTTTGGAGCACATTGCTTTGATCTCTGCTTCTCAACTCTTAGCTCCAATGCATACGGTGCTCTTCGCCATTGGCGTTGATAGTGCTCACCAATAGAACAGCGGCCGGAATGAGCACCAGGCCATTCTCCATTTTCTTGCGAGTTGTCTTGTAGGGAAGCGCCGTGATAAGGCTGCGCACTGGATGCAACTCATAAGGTGATAGTTGGCGCGTAGTACGGCCAAATTTAGGGCCAAACTTAAACCAGAACTTGGTAATAATTACGCTTGGTGGCACTATTCATTGCGTACCTGAGGCTACTGTCCGTTGTCTGCCTGTGAGGTCTTCAACTCAGTAATTGATATTCTTAAACCAGTGTGATCTTAATGGCTTCATTTTTTCCGACGCAGCGACTGTATGGGACGTCAAGACCTGAACTGAAATTTCCTCCGTAACTTTATTGAGGATTTTAGTGTAACTACTAATGCATTGGATACACCTAAAAAAGCATTGAAAGCGGCTAGAGCGGCACTCAGTACAGGGCATCATTATACCCGGCGGACGGTCAGCCTGCTCTTTTTTTTTGCGCATGGGTAATGGAGCTAGTGAACTTATTGATCTGGTGATTAGTAGCGTACAACGTGGCACATTAAGCTGCCACCTTACGTAACAGCTCACGCAACAAGTAGAAAATAGAAAAGAGTCTTCGAGCCTATTCTACCAGCGAATAGAAACGTAGGTATATAAGAATCTCTAAGTTTGAAGCGAGCAGAACTGGATCGACAAATATGTGGCAAGACTTGGCAAGATATGGGTGCAGCAGAGCTAGTAGCGTCTACATAAGCTTGTAGTAGACACCATCACCAGCTTTCGCGTCGACGTATGTGTTGTCAACTGCGGCCTTCACCTAGCAATTTATTTTCTTTACCAGCAGTCATGATTACTTCATTGCTAGTGCTCTATTCGATGCTGAATGAGTTTTCGAGCATGGTGAAGTTTACGGAGCCCTGTAGTTATGCATCGTTGGTATATTGAGCTAATCAGGAGACATCAACTGTAACTTTTCTATTGAACATTTGCAACATTAGCTTGCGAAAACACATTGAGACAAATTGCCAACTACACAACGAGCAAGTGAATAAATGCCTCCAATGCCGATTGTTTGCTAATGGCAAATATGATGTTGTTGGCTTGCAGTGGCCGTCAATATCGGCAGCAGATGTGTCAAATAATGCAAGCAAATTCACAGTAACTAATATTTGCATGAAAATTCTGTATTTGACGACCACAACAACTGCGGTAGAGTAATTTCTACTGCCAGGACACAACGCTGTCCTAGGCACGACAGTTCTCAATGTTAAAGATCATAATATCTGTAGCGCCCACGTCGTGAAGCTGGTCCATAACGTCCGACACGTCTTTGACCTCCACCATAGCGGACACAGCGTAGCCTCCACCCACTAGTCCGTTCACTGTAGGAGCAAGTCGTCCCGGTGTTATTTTTGACGCTATCTCAAGCTTTTCCTTGTTTACATTGTACGACACCATCCTGTACTTGGTTGCTGTGATGTAGCCCAAAATGCGCTGGTGCACTTTGTGCAGCAGCTCCTTGTGTACCGAATGTGGATTTGCAATCAGCACCGCTTCAGTCGTCATAATTGTCGAAACAAGTTCCAGTCCAGCGGCCTTCATCGTCGTTCCAGTCTCCACTAAGTCCACAATTCCATCCGCCAAGCCGAGCGAGCATGCAGCTTCCACAGAGCCTGAAACATATTTGATCTTGGTAGGACCTGTAACCTCGGTCTCAAACTTCTTAAAATAGTCGCGTGTTACTTCAGGAAATGATGTAACAACACGTTTTCCCGCCAGTAGCTCTGGTGACGCAATAGCGTCTTTCACAGGCGTCTGAACACCAAGACAACAGCGTCCAAAGCCAAGTGACATGAGTTCATTCACTTTTGTTTGACTCTCTGCAATAATATCTTGACCTGTAATCCCTAGATCCAAATTCCCTTCTCCCACATACGTAGCAATATCAGATGCCGGTAGAAACACGAGGGTGACGGGAAGACTCGAACATAGCGCAATGTCTACACGATTTGGACGATAATACTCCAGTCCAGCACCTTTTAGAAGTTTCAGTATCTTATCATGTAGACGACCTTTCTTAGGCACAGCAAATAGCAGTCGCTCGTCGCTCTTGTGGGACACGAAAGACGAAGCGATAGGTGGTGACATTAGTAGGAAGAGAGAGTAGTGACAAAAATGGGTGGCAGGTAATAATACCTTGATGTTGACGTACGCGTAACCTGTAGAAAAGCGTGTCTCGTTTGCGCAATCAAGTGTGTACCTCTCCATTATAGTAACCCCTTATAATAGTAACCCTATGTAATAGTAACCCAAATACGAATCATGGACGAAAGCGAGTTTCGTTGCTTGCTAGAGCGCTACCCGGTGGTGCGCAAAAAGACACACTGTCGCGTGCAATGGAATGACATGGTAACTGGATGTATTGATGTTGTTTTTCTGATTCAATACCTGCCATTATGGTGGTTGGAGGATCAGTGTAGCCTTTGCAATCCAATGATGTAACTGTGGGTGGAATTTGTATATCACGGGCACTTGTAGTACGATGAAGAGCCAACAAAGCCTGTGAGTTCCGGTATTTTTATTCCTGCTGAAAGTGATTGCGACATCAATCCATTGGACTCGGTCGAAGACGCATTGGAAAAGTTTCTGGCGCCGTATTTCTCGTCGCAAGAGGCAGCGAAGATCCAGCAACAGCTTGAAAAGGTGAGAAATGGAATGCAAAGCGAAAGAATGAGGAGAATGAAGGACGTTGGTGTAAAGAGAGCGAGGGCGACGCAGTGTGTGACGTTTGATGCGTTGTTGTTATTGTTGCTGCAGACCCAGAGAGATTTCGTCGCGAGTTTGTGTTTGGAGGATGTGAATGATCTGTGCGCACAGTTTATCACGACTAAGTGAGGTAGGAGATATGGCAAAGCTGCCATGGATCCGAGTACGACGAAAACTGTTGGATTTTAGTATCTTGGAACATGAGTTTGTATTGCTGCTGCGTTTGTGGCCTTGTAGACTACGTACGTTGTTGACTCGAGATCAAGTGACGCTGTGGTAAGAAGAGATACATGTTAGACTTTGAGCGCATACGATCAGCTACAGATCTTGTACGTTATTGGATCATACCTGGTAAAATCTGCGGGTCTGATCTGGATCCAGGAAAGGTGATGTACTCCACGAGATGACGAGAGTGCGCAGCTCGTCAGTAGAAGTCTCGAACGAAATGAGTCGCAGCAGCGCTTCCTACAAGAACCAAAGAAACAGCAACATCGTCAGTGACGTTTGCAGACGTTGTGGTATCTTGGACAGACGTACAATGTACTGATACTCGGCTTCAAACGTTGCCAGCTCATGACTTATCATCTGAAGGTAATCGACGGGTCTCAATTGCGTCGCTTTGACTTCCTGGTCACCGCCGTCCTCCTCATTCTGCACTGTGAACACAACGGGCATCAGTTCATGCCACTTCATCAGCTCTATCTTCTGCTACCACACACCGATCTCTCTCGCCTGAACGTGCAAGGTGCACATCTCCTCCAAGAGTTCTTCGAACACCGTCGGTAGCGTTTGCATTTGCTCATATAAATCCTCCGCTAGCCACGGATTCATCACTACATTACCAGCCAATCCACTCAATGTTTCTGCTCCCTTCTTATCCGGACTATTTCCTTCATTATCTACAATCTCTGCTACCGCTTGAGCATCTCGAAGAGCCAGCACTGCCGACTGAAACCCTTCAATTAACGCGATTCCCTCACGTTCTCGACGGTACCAAGCTAAAACTTTTTCATGCAATGTAGTAAACAGTTTTGCAATCTTCTTCACACCTTTCTCCTCGTCATCCGTCGTCTCCTTGGTCACTTCAGCACCTCGTAAACTTGACGTTCTTGTACTCTTTTTTTTGGCCATTCAAAATGTAGCCATTTTATACAAAAAAACTCAGCAGTTGTTTAAGTACGCTTACGTGGCATCATTGTGCATTATTGACAGCGATGCGTATACTACGCGTGACGTTCGTGGGGGTGTTTCTGCTTGCTTTTGCGCTTACTCCGTCTATAAGCGAGTCGAGTGGTGAGACGAAGGACGAGAAATCAACGTCAACTACCAAAGTCCGAGACCAAGACCCCGTTATCCAAGAAATTCGAGGTCTACGGAATGCTGGAATGCAGCTCAACGATGTCAGCAATTATAAGGAATCTATTGAGAAATTGCGTAAGGCCATCACTTTGCTACACAATAGGGTATTTGGTGAAGGTCGTCACGCCATTACGAACCCTGAGGACATTTCGCAAGACGCAGCTCTTTATGCTCAGATTTTAAATGACTACGGGTCGGTCCTGATCCGAGCTAAGCTATACGACGAAGCTATTGAGGTGCTACAAGATTCAATTGCTATGGTGGAAAAGATTTATGGCGACAGTCATCCTTCTCTTGGATTATCATTGCGGAGCTTGGCTGATGCGCATATGGCTAAGAAACAGTACAAGAAAGCTACTGGTAACTACAAAACTCTCCGAAAACATATCGAAAAGGGACTTGGAGTGACCCATGAAGCGTACATTGAAGCTACGTTGAGGATTGCGGAAGGATACAAGAAAATGGGCAAGAAGAAGAAACATTTGAAGGTGCTCAAGGACGCAGTGGAGGCACAAGGTGGGAAGATTAATGGACTTACAACAGGAATCGCAGAGCTTATTATGGAGCTGTCGACGGCGTATTTGGCCGTGGATGAAGTTGATAAGGCGGCTGGTGCAGCCGAGATGGCTCGTGTTGTAACGTTGCAGCGGGACGGAGAAGATACGTTGGCGTACGCGTTCAGTTTGAATGCGTTGGCTGGTGTCAGGATGCGTCAGAAGAAAGTGGATGAGGCGATAGAATTGTTGGAGCAAGCGCACAGGATTGCAGTCAAGATATACGGTGAGGATGACGCGATTACTCGAGCTAGTGCAAAAACATTACATGACGTGAAGGAGTACAAGATAGGATTGGAAGCGAAGAAGGATGAGCTGTAGAGAAACAAGTGGGAGGTATGAGTGATCTCTGGGGCTTAGGCAATAAAGGGAAGTATTCAACTCAGTTTAGTAAAGGAAATAAAAGTCGGTGCTGCAAAAAGTGTGCTAGTTCTCTTGCATTTCTAGAGGCGTAGGACACAGTCATTTTGTATGCAAATTTGCAGCAATGCGCCAACTTTGGCACATGAAAAAGGAGAATGGCTGCATGAAGGGGCAAAAGGTTATTGATGAAAACTTACGTTTACTGAATGAGCAATACGAAGGCCAGCAGCATAATCGCTTACATGATAACAAAGCAGCAGCCTTTGCCACAAGTTGCAACTACTGGGTCTTCTTCTTAGCCGCCTGAGCAAGAGCCTTATTCGTAGCTCCCCAGAATAACAGCACTTGTAATACAAGCATGCCATTGAGCAAGATCCCGACACCAAAGCCTACAACTTGCACCGGGTCGCCCGTCTCCTGCAACGTCGTAAACAGCCGCGCAATTGATCCGGCAAAGTTGAGCACAAGTGTAATGAGCGCCAATTGACCCGTATGACCCTGTTTAAAGTTGGACAAGATCTGCATCACACCAGCAAAAATCATGATGAGCTCGTAACAGTTTCCATGACTACACAACTTGCAACATCAATTCTATCTTACCTGTGGAATACGAGCCACAATACTCACGGGGATCCCAGCAGACGCTAGGAGCCACTGCAATTCTTCCGGAATGGAGAGCATGCCCATTCCCATAGCAGCAAACACCAGCACGAGTCCAAATCGAGACGAAACTGGTATCTTTGGTGTATAATATGCCCATAGCAATAGCACCAACAGGATATTTTGAGCAAGAATCACTAGGTTCTCACCCCACGTAGTTAACGGATACCCTCGTAAGAGGTTGTATATCGTACTGGATAAGTAAAGTACCACTTCCATGTAAAAAGCGCTTGGGGTGAGGCCCGTGACGTCTTTTGCCGCCATAATCTTAAGAATCTGCGGTAGTTTAAGGATCAAACTGCCCATGATAATGCCATAACTCAACGCCTTGCTGACCACAGCTTTAATACACTCTACGTTAGTAAAGTCATGGTGAGTCACAAACGCTTCGAAACATTGGGGAGTAAGCAATCCCAGAATCAACTCATCGTCCTTTTCTTTCATTTCTGATACGATACAGGTTGCTAACATTGTCATAGACAACACTATCACCACACAAACATTAGTCACTTTGACCATTTTCGTTATGAATGAGGGAATTTGGAATAACATTGGGTGGTCTGGAAAAGACACGTTATGGTTTGATAGAAATACCGTTTATTAAGGAGCAAACAATGTATTCGTCTACTTGAAGCTACAAGAATCAGATCCCAATTTGGTTCATATGAACACCGATCTGCGAGATTTGGAGCTTTGGTAAACCGAGACGCCGTTGGTTCATTTTCAGTCTTAGTTGGGTGATAAATGAAGGCAGAGAATCAGATTGGCAACCACACAAACTCTACTCTTCAGTGTTATGATTCATGGCTGCTTGACCCAATTGTTATACACGTAAACGTAGTTATCCTGACACACACACAGTAGGCTTTGAGTTGAAGCTGCTGTTTCTGACTAGTGCCGACGCAGACGGTTGCCTAGGCATACAGCTCAAGAATGTAAAAAAATGGTTACAATACATGACGAAATCTCGAAACTCTCAAGCCGCCGCTTTCGTAGCTGTCGGTGTGCTGTTTTGTACCAACCCATGCTGCTGACCGTCTTTCTCTTCCAATTTGTTGCCCTGCGCCATTCCGTTGTCCTGCTTTTCTTTTTCCTCCTCTGCCTCAAACTTCATCCTATCGATCTTTTGTTGTTGCGAACTAATCCTTTTTTTAGGCTTGGGTTGGTTAAAGATTGGAGGGTAGTCCAACGTGTTCAAGAATGTAATCGTCTTGGGTGCGCCAAGCCTGCTATAATATCTCACCATCCTCCCTGAACATGGTGCCTTAGGCGCTACACTCTCCACCTTCTTCTCCTCTTCCAGCTGCTCCAGTCTCTGTAGCGATTGCGTGTTTTCTACCTCTGTCCTCACAGCTTCTGCCAATAATTGAGCTTGTGTCAACCGATTACCCGACTTTTCTACCAACGGCTTTTTGCACTTTGCAGTCGGCTTTGCTGCATCACTTAATGCTCGATGTCTCATCTCTGAAGATATCGACGACTTCCTAGCCGTCGACGAGCGCACCGTTGGTGCCACATACTTATAAACTGACGTCGGGCGTGCAGCAAGAGGTACTGGAGTCTCACCAACTGCTATTGCAGCCTTCTTTTTAGCCGGCCGAGGTTGCATGGGTTCTTTGTATCGCCCTAAACTTGCCGCCGAGTGCTTTCGTCGCGCGGGTTCATCATCTTCTTCTGCATCGTGGACGTCGTCATCTGGAGCTTCTTGTTGGTCGAAATCAGAGTCTACAATATCATCCTCCTCTGCAATACCATCAAATAAATCATAGTACATTAATGCTACCATAATTGCATTTTCATTAGCACGTATCATCTCATGAAGCAAGAAAATACCTGCTTCGGTCGAATAGTCCTCGTCTTCACCATCTTCCTGCCAAGCTGATTGACCCCAAAACGATGCATCTGCTTCAGCCTCCTCACCAATGAGCTTATTGATACGACTTCCACGAGAACTACGAGCTGGTAATATTTTACGAGTCTCGACGGTGTCGGAAGGACTAGGACTAGGAGGTCGACGAGATGGCATAACTACTTTTAGGTTAGGATGTTTCTGACCTGTTAGGATGGGTTAAACGATGCAAAAAGTGCTAGTAAAAACCAAAAAAAAACCTCTCCTAACTCTGTGTTTTATTTCAAGTTAGGATATTCGAACAAGTACGATGCGTAGCTAGCTAAAATATCTACCTGAGGACTTTTTGAACAGCTCACTGTACTTGTATCGACAATGGGTATTCTCATGCTTCCAGCAACGTACCGAAAAGCAATGTGACCTACGTATCAGCAATAGTACTGAAGGCAATGAAAGAGCGTCAGTGATACCACCGCGTAGAATGATCTGACGACTGCTACTTTGAAGATTGAATTTCTAGCTGGAAGATTGTGCATATTGTCATCCGCGTAGATATACTTGTATGCGAGACGTCCTCATCGCTTCATGCCAAGATCGTTTTTTTAGTTACTATCTTCAATCGTCTCCGAGACGGCGTCACGTACTCAAATGGAATTAGCATTCCATTACATGTTTGTCCTTCCTTTACCACGTTTATTTTTACAGAGATAAGACAAAACATGATGAATACCACTCGCATCTTGCCACAGAGGCACGGCACAGCTCCGACCACTTAGTCTACGTGATTCACTCAAAAAGACTGACAAGTTGATAGAAAAATCCCACGTCAAGGCATTTCTTGCCGACAAACGAGTCTCAGCCTTATTTTTACGCGACCATCAAGTACCACTTTAAGCCGATCGCACCATTCAGACTGTCTAGCCACCTAATGTCCGATATCGCCCAAATGCACTACCACCAAACTGTACGTGGTCAATACCAAATCAGTAGACCTTCTCCATACGTATGCGCATCAATTTTTCAAGCTCTTCAAGCCGACAACCATAGAAGAAAGGAGACATGGTGCCCGCAACGCCAGCTTTAGTCTCGATATTGCTTTCAATTTCATTCAGTAAACTACAAACCGTCCAAGCCCTGACTGAACTTCCGAGGTCTTTTCAGTCTTGTTTTGACTGAATTCAAAAAGACTTGCGTTCATTGACTAGGAATCTGATCAAGTCGGTGGCACTTGTGCAGTGGGCTGCGTGCTCCAACAGCTCAAAAAGCGGAAGAAACAGACATCACTACCATCTACTTAAAAGTGCTTTGGAGCTTCACAAAAGCAAGTTGTGATCCGTCAAGAAAAATTTAGTCTTGTGTATATTGCTCAGTTTCGATTGATGAACCGTTTAGTTGGATGCCGTAAGCTTCAACGGAAGCAAGACATACAACGATTACCGTTCGAAATGAAGACGGTGGTAGCGACTACAGTGTTATTACTGATTCAGGGTGTGATAGGACAGTCGTGCGGACTCACAGAAATGACCTTGTCGACAGATTGCAGCGACGCATGCTCACAATACGAACCGTGCTTGGCCTACGGCGCCTCCATGTGCCCTTCCAAAGTTTTGTGTGTCACCAGCGACCAGTGTGCTATTCAGTGCTTTTCAAAGACTTTGAACGATCCAGATACGTTCACGTTTTTAGTAATGTTTGGAATGTACGACAAGACAATGGCAGATAGCAGCTTGTCCTTGCTTGAAAATGAGGTTAATGTCATCCCAGATGAGACTGACACGTACGCGTCGATCAGCAATGACGCAGTCTCTACTATCAGTACTATTGCACTTCAGCCAACAGCAACCTCCTTGTCAGTGATAGTCGGATGGAATTCATTTTAGGATGTGACGTCGGTGGCTGACGATGGTTTTGTTGGTTTGTGCTTCGGGTGTGACAGCATAGTGATAGGAGGTACGAGTACCACCTCATCGGTAAAGAGCAAGGTGGCCAAGGTGACTTTCGGCTCCGACGTCATCTCCACACAGACTAGTGTAACGAATGTGGTGCTGAAGAACGTGGATCTATCAACTTCCGCTACACTTCAGCAGCTGCCTGTCGTGCTCCCAGCTGCTCTGCAGAATTTAAGCCTTGCTAACACAATGCTTACAAGCTTTCCAACCGTAGTCGCAAATTTCACCAGTCTCCAGAAGCTGTAAGTAAACACTCTTGTGACTGCCTGATAACTGAACATCACATACTAACTCCTCTTGTTGACAGTGATCTGGACATGAACTACATCACCGAAATTGCCGCGACCACAGCTATGAATTCCCTCATGCACATGTACGTGCCATTAGCTGGAAGTAAGCATCTGTCAACTCAGTTTTATCTCATAGAAGTGTAATGTGCGATTGTGCAGTTCATTTCGTAACAATGATCTCGACAGCTTTCGCGCTGTTTTTCCAAACCTTGTTTCGCTGGATCTGACGGACAACAAATTTGCGAGTATTCCACTTAGCATCTATATCCATTACAGCCTGGATAAGCTGACAATGAAGGGAAATCCTCTGGCTTCCCCGTGGTTCACACAGGATCAGGCGGACTTTTTGAGCAAGCTCACGCTTTTTGATCTGGAAAACTCAGACTTTGCAAAATCAATCAACAGCTGCAGCTCGGCTAACCAGCGCAAAGTTCATGCGTTGACCGTATGCATTTCGGATAGTACGAGTGATGCCAACACCTCCAATTTTTCGTCCTTGACGTTAAATGTGTTTGCCATTGTAGGAAGCATTGTGGGTGGCATATTGGTCCTTGCTATCGTGGTGCTCGCTACAATCTGGATATACAGGAACCAAGTCCGCCACTCGGAGCGCCACTCAAAAGGTGTTCGCGCGTCTTACTTTTTATGGTGTATCACCGCCTCTCTCTCGATCATCTGCCGACAAAGGTTACCGTGGAGGCCGTCGTACACCTGTAAGTGGAGGGCCACGGTTTTGTCCAAATGACTACGAGGATGATGGCAGCAATTTTTCACCCCGAATCTCGACTCGTAGTACGTATAGCAACAAGAGCGCAACTGCGTATTCACTTTGGAACGATGAAGAATTGCTGTCATTGCAGGTAAAGTATGATGAGATTGAGGACATTGGCACTATCGGCAGCGGAGCGTGCGGTGTCATTTGGCTTGTGAAGTACCGAGGATCTCAGTTACTCGCCTCCAAGCGACTTCGATCCGACCAGATTACAAAGTGGCGTACGCAGGCGTTTATTGAGGAGATCAAGATGGTAGCTCCATTTGATCATCCGAATGTTGTTCGTCTTATTGGGTGCGCGTGGACAATTGAGACGGATTTGCAGGCGCTGTTTGAGTATATGGAAAATGGTGATCTTCGTGACTTTTTGCTTGAGCCGAGTTCGCCTCGTCATTGGAGTCCAGAATTGTTGCAGCTGGCGGTAGATATTATCGAGGCGCTGGTGTATATACATTCATTCACGCCTCCACTGGTGCACCGTGATCTAAAGTCTCGCAATGTAATGCTGTCAGGCGAGATGAAAGCCAAGGTGACCGATTTTGGTGCGTCAAGGTACAAATCCGTTAACGAAACCATGACTGCAGCTGTCGGTACGGGTCGTTGGTTGGCGCCAGAGGTGATTTCAGGCAGTAGTAAGTACGACCAGTCCGTTGATGTGTTCTCATTTGGAGTTGTGCTGTCTGAAATGGATACGCACACGATCCCGTACGACGACGTCCGGGACGCAAACGGCAATCGTTTGAACGATATAGCTATTCTACAGCTCGTGGCTAACGGTCAATTGCGTCCTAAATTTGGTGCAAGTTGTCCACCAGAGCTACGCATGGTAGCTGAACGATGTCTCAACCAGGATCCTCAAAAGCGTCCGCCAGCGCATGTTATAGCATACGAACTGCGTGTCATTCAACGGTCACACTACACACTGCTGTAAGTGGGTTACTTATGCAAGTTACTTGATCCAAGTGCAGCCAAAAGAATAGAAAAGTGTAGAAATTGGGTAAATGGCGATACGACAAAGTGAATAGTCGTAGAAATGATGAGCGTTAGTGTAACGAGGTTACACGAAGGTGTGTATTTTACGTACACACCTGCCACACCAATGTGGTGTGGCTGTACCTTGGGTACAAAGTAGGTGATGTGCCCGTACCTGAAGTACGAAGGGTCACATCGTGGCAGAGAGCCACGTGGTCACTATACTTATTCAAGTATAGTGACTATTCATGTTTGCATACTAATAACAGGCTATAGAGCCAGTAAATAGTGACTAGCACTAAGTATAGGATAGGTGTTTCCATTATTAGTGTTAGAAGATAAACATAAATATGAAACAATTTCAAACCTGCTCTGTATAGCACTAGTTGCTAGAGCGTTCTATTCCGTATAGGAATTGTATCCCTGATACTAAGCTCTCTGAGACTCGGTTGTAATAACCGATAGGCACAAGCTTACGAGCTAGCCTAGGAGGGTCAAACACCCTAAGAAGTAGAAGCTCTCTGAGCTTGTCTTCCTCTGCACATAGTGCATAAATAGTTTTGTTTCAGTAGTCTGACTACTACTTCTGCACATAATGCATCTGCACCTGGTGCATCTTCACATAGTGCATAAGTAGCTTGGCTACAGTAGCTCGGTTACAATAACACTTGCTTATAATGTGACATAGTGTATAACACTAGCTTATCAAGCAGCACAGTGTATAACACTAGCTTATCAAGCACCTAAGTGTACAACTCTTGCTTATAAAGCACATTTTTGCTAAACACTTGCTTTTAAAACACCTTCGTATTCACCACTCGCTTAAAAAGCATCTTAATGTTTAACACGTGCTTGTAACGCACCTTAGCGTTGAACACTTGCTTCTTTAAAGCCTTTAAGTGCTTAAAACACTTGCTTATATAATTGCAAGGTGTTGTACACTTCTGATAAAGCTCCATAGTGTTTCACACTTGCTTATACAAAGCCCTAAAGTGTTGTAAACTTGCTTATAAAGCTTCTTTATAATAAACGCGTGCTTATAGAAGCTAAGTGTTTCACACTTATTTTAGTGCACCGTAGTGCCCAGCACATGCTCATGGAGCCATAGCGTGCTATGTCCACTTGCTCTTTAAGCTCCCCAAGTCATTACACTTTGCGTATTATATAGGCAAAGCCATATACGCCGTAATCTTTGCTTTTGAAGCAGATAATAGTACCTTTCACGCGAGTGAGGTACCAGCAACTGCTTCCGAAGAAGGTCAGAGGTGAAGCCTAACTACTGACCTTGCTTCCACAGCACTTAGTGCTAGGAAGCATCCGGCGACTGCTGTCGCCGCTTTTGATCTTCCCGATCAAAAGCTTCAATGACGTCCGGGCAATCTTGCTGTAGGGGTACCTCGTACTCCCATTATTCATACGACTGAGGGTACCCCATCTACTTTACCAGATACTGGGTGTGGCCCTGATAAAGACGTCGCACCAATAGACGCTCGAAGTGAAACTGTTGATGACCCAGCTTATCAGTCAGCGTTGGCGGGGGTGGGTGACCCATCGATCCATGATCTTTTGGTACGCCTTCAGCGTCCATATGCACCTCCGGTGCCGTACTACCCGCTCCTTCAGCCGGGGATATGAGGATAACCCCTCGAAGTCCACCGAGGCAGGGTTGCGATATGGCTTTAGTAAGCTCACATAGAACACAGGATGTGTTCGCATCTTCTTCGGAAGGTTCAGCGTATAGGCTAAACCTTTCTTGCTTCTGACCTTAAGAGTTCCGATAAAGCGTGGACGCAGTTTGGTTTTATATACCGCAGACACTGCACGTGTCGGTAAATTCCTAGCGTTTAATAAAACCAAATCCCCCACTTTGAGCTCATGTTCATTTTTCCTGCCTTTGGCATCTGCATGTTCCTTCTGAACATCCTGAATTTCAGCCATAGCGTCTTTGACGCGACGTAATACGTCAAAACGCGTTGACAGAAACGCTTCCACCTTTTTGCGCATCGCAACAGGGCTGATATCAGCCAAGCCTTCGGCTATCTCTCTTCCACTAAGCCCTGATGTGGCAGGAGGTAGCGTTAAAGAAACGCGAGGATTAATCAATCCATTCACATAGAATGGGGTGAAGCCTGTCGAGGCATCCACCGCGTTGTTCACCGCAAACTCTACCAGAGGAAGCATCGCGCTACATTGCTTAGGTGTTTCAGCACAAACACTGCGAACCATGTCACCAATTACGCGATTCATACGTTCGGTCTGACCATCGGTCTGCGGATCATCCGCCGTGGACATGTCCAGTCGAGTGCCGAGCACTTGAAAGACGGACGTCCAATACTTACCAGTAAAACGGGGGTCTCTATCCGAGACGATTGCCACAGGCAAGCCGTGTTGTCGAAACACACGATCCATAAACAGCTTAGCTGTTCCTTCTCCATCAATAAAGTCTGGCACTGCCGCTAAGTGAGCCATCATGCTCAATCGGTCTACAAAGACCTCAATCCCAGTGTTGCCTGCCGCATCACGCGGTGAGCCAAACACAAAGTCCATACTAATGGACTGCCACAACCCCAAGGGTACAAGCAAACTCTTTAAAGGCGCAGTCATACTAGGCAAGGGTTTCACCCGTTGACACGTTTCACACGTGCGTACGTAGGTACCAATCCATTTGTACAACTTGGGCCACCGATAATGTGTGCTCACCGAGCTGTAGGTCTTCTCACGACCTAAATTACCACCAAGTGGTGTATCATGAGCCTCATAAAGTATCTGATACTTGAGGTCCTCATCATGAGACACCACAACTCGAGGCTGGTCATCCGACCCTGTACTATAGTACAACAGACCATCGGTCAGTGCATAACGATGTAATCTTGCACGATTACGTGGTGACAACTTCACCTTAGAGTTTTCAAACTCTGCGCTACCTAGCGCCTACAGAATGGCAACACATGCCTCATCGCGTGCATACGCCACACGGATACGATCCGTTACTGACGAACTCACAACAGTGAGATGAGCAAGCTCATAGTCAGGTCTACGCGATAACGCGTCAGCCAAAACATTCTGTTTTCCCGGCTTATACTTCACCTCGAAGTTATACTCCGCAATAAAGGAGAGCCAACGAGCCATTCTCTGCGAGAGATGAAGCGACTGTGTCGCTGTGCGTAATGACGCATGATCGGTATAGATCACAAACGGCATTGAGCCCAACAGGTGTACCCTGAACTTAACAAGGGCATACTTCATCGCAAGCAGCTCCTTGTCATGAACTGGATATTTCTTCTCTGCAGCTTTCAGCTGGCGAGCCTCAAACGCGATGACGCATTCTCGACCCTCAGAGTCGACTTGCAAAAGTGCACTGCCAATGGCAATGTCCGAAGCGTCACATACGACGCTAAACGGGCGACCAGGATCAGGTAGAGCCAGAATTGGCGCCTGAAGGAGACTCTCCTTAATGGCTTCAAAAGCCTCGTGGTGCTCGGTGTTCCAACACCATTCCACATCCTTCTTAAGTAGATTGGACAATGGCCTAGCCACTTCCGCATAGTTATGGCTATACTTGTGCAAGCAATTTGCCAAACCCAACCACTTGCGTAGGTCCTTTTGGTTCCTCGGAACCGGCCAATCCACTATGACTTTGACATTAACAGGGTCTGCCCGGATTCCTCGCTTCCCAATGAATCATCTCAAAAAAGGGAATCTCTTCCGCACCGAAGATGCATTTGTCAATATTGGCATATAACATATGCATCCTCATGCAACCGAGCACAACTCGCAGGTGCTCGATGTGATTCTCCACATCAGTCTTGTCATTTTCGGCTCGACTATGAACGAATATATCGTCAAAGTATATCTGTGCATACACCCTATGGAGCCGAAACAACTGCATCACTAGACGATTAAACATTGCAGGTGCGTTAGACAGCCCTTGAGGCATCACTAACCACTCCCCGAGCATATCGCTCGGAGTACTGACCGCTGTCAGCGGGATATCACCAGCTCGCATGAGCAGTTGATAATATCCATCGACTAAGTCGAGGACACTGTACATCGTACATCCCACCATATTGTTGTGAGAACATCCTTGCGATGAATCGGTGTTTGAGCCGGGATAGTGGCTGCATTCAGCTTATTGTAAGCATGCACTATTCGCCACTTCCCATTAGGCTTTCTCACACAAAACGTGGGCGTAGAGTGAGGAGACTTACTCTCACGCACCATGCCAGCCGCGTGCTTTGCACGAAAGAACTCGTCAATGACGTCACATTGTTCTCGTGGCAGCGGCCACTGTCGCGTGACACAATATTTGGTTCCTGGAACCAAGTCAATTTCATGACGTACACCTCTATCCGGAGGTAACCTCGTAGGAGGTTCTCTGGAGACAACATCTCCATATTCCTTCAACAAAGGAAAATAAGGATCCGAAGGGTCCTTCAGGATCTGTGATCCACTACGCGCATTCAGCGCCTTCTTGGTATCTTCAAGAACTGCTTTATCCAAAAGCGTTGAGGAGTTCAACTCCTCCTCAGGTCGTATAACGACCACTTCGGCGATGTCGCCTGCCTATAAGGCACTGCCAAACTCGGCAAAGGACAACTCGTCCAGATCTAACAGAGCACTTACCGCGGTTATTGCTGAGAGAGCCACCGGCTCTTCAACATCACCCAGTCAAACCATTGACGAGTGTATATAACTTTTCGCTATCACCGTCACTCACGATATCATTATCGCTACTCATGATGATCTCGGCATCCGACGCATCAGCGTCCACAGGTGTACACACCTCAAGGTCAAAGACCACTTCGTTTACTGACTGCACCCCACCCTCTTGGGTCAAGGCCTCGTCATGAGGTGCTCGCACCTCATTGTCCTCAAAGACAACCGTCATTCTTGACTTTACCCGACACTCTTGGGCCATTACCTCGTCACTAGGTGCTTGCACCTTGTTGTCCTCAAAGA